GAAAAGACAATTTTTTTATTACAAAATTAATATTAAGAACTAAATTTTTTACAACAACGTCCAAACAGAAAAAATTAATGATTCATCTTAAATGGCAAAGGAAGAACAGAGTGAGGTAAGATCTTCACGTGCTTCCATCTGTCGCGGTCTTCTCCCATTTTCAGACCAACGTACTTACTTTCACACCACCAGCATCCCCCTCACAGAGATCTTAGATATTGAGCTCATATGTTAGATATATTCTTTTATATAGGCGACTGCCCTCCTTTCCCGCGTCCTACGTCGGCCGATTTGTAAGAAGTTCTCATGGAAAATGCACGCGAAAGATGTCGATTATGTAAGCGACATCAGCGCATGGCACATCCCATTCGTATTTTGTCAATCAACAATACTGTGGCTTGCGTACACTTTCAATGACAACGTTCCCATTGACATTTTACCTTTTTTGCTCCATTTGACCTACGATCGAAAAAATACAACTTACTATTGGTGGAGAAAGCATCAGCCGCTGCGAGAAAGCCGAATATAGTCAGCAAACACAGCGGCGAAAGTACAAGCAGACGACGACAGCTTCGCCCCATAACAACCCTCTTTCGTTGCACACCCGTCTCCTTTGTCTCTTCCACCACCACTCTCCAACACTACCACTGACACCGAGATTTTCAAAATTGCTTCTTGTTCACGGTTGTTTGTGTCACGATTTTTGTCTTTCCGGTGATTTTGACAGCCGGCAAGCCGGGAGATCGATCAACAACAACAACAATCCTCACTCACGATGTACTGACTGATTACCAGTAAAGTCTGGTGAGACCACGCGGTCCAACAGCCTCTACTCTGCATCGGACGAGTCACAGATCTTCAATCATGTACATGCAAACAGCCAACAATTGAGAGTGGCTGCGTGCTCCAATACAGAATAAAAAGTGCACTCCACAAAGTGGTTGAGACTGGCAGGCCCGCCCCGTGTGCAAGCACCTCCGTGTCTCTTGCTGTATATCTCTTACTCCCTCCTTTCTTCTATCTTTTTCATTCGCTCTATGAATCCGTTGTCCTTTCTTCCTCTTGCGTAGCTACTCTATTTCTCTCCACTGTACAGAGAACTGTTCCTTCTTTCTCTCTTTTTCTTTCCCTCTCCCGGGCGAAACGGTGACGACCGCTGATTCTGACGCACCGGTATCGCGCCACCTGCGCGCGCAAGTACTCCCTCTCATTCGGTTGCCTTTGCTTCTTTTCTTCCCTCCCATCCTCTCTCTCACTCTCTCACTCCTTCTCTCTTGCCAAAGTCACGCTATGTGCGTACTCGTAGCCTGTTTCTTTAACTGTGTATCGTGACCCAACTTAACCTAACCTATATTCTATCTGTTTAATAAGCAGGTGAAAAATACCTGTCGACACCATCGCCAACATATAGTTGTTTCATTCAATGAAAATTCAAATATAGTTGTTTCCTACGAATGCTTGTATTTGCTGTATCGATTTTATACATTATAGCTTAAAAACAATTAAATATTCGCAATTATTGAACCAGTATCGAAGATATAAATATGACTTTTATTCAACATTTTATATTTATGTATTAGAAGATATATCATGTAATTGTTTTACTTTTTAATGTAATCAGCACTTAAAGTAAAGTGGTACATACAAAACCATAATTATGAACTTTGTTATAGCAATTATTATATTATCATATTATTATATTACTCTTGTGTTGATACAGTACTCCACATTAATATGCTTGGTCCATTAGTAGCTAAGAAACAATTTGTTTGTGGATGAACACTTAATGATACAACAGGATGTTTTGCTGGTTTAAATCCTGAAAGTTTTGCAACTACTTTTTGAGAAACTAGATCCCATATCCACAATTTTCCATCTGCAGATCCAGAAAGAATTCGAGTATCTTGAGCATCAACACTTGATTCCAAACACAGATTATTTGCCATGTGTCCTGTGAATTCTCCAAGCAATTCTCCTGAATCTTTATCTATTAATCTAACTACAGCATCTGCACAACTAACTACAATGCATTGACCATCCCTTGTGAAACTAGCGCATGTTATTGCATCTGTAATATTTGTAGTACAATTAATGATAACATATTTTGCCTGTTGCATAAATATATTATGTTATCTTTTATATCATTGACCAACCTCCCATATAGTCTGCATACATTTCACCCACACGAATATCATATCTACGTATTTTGCCATCAAATGAAGATGTTAGGATTTCATGATCTGATACCTTAACACTTGAAATAGAATCTTTAGCTTCATTTAAGCATTGTACAGGCTCCAGTACTTTGGAGCGCACATCCCACAACATAACTGAATTATCTCTGGATCCCGAAACAACCATAGAAGATTCTTCATTGAACCTTACATTATAAAAAAATATATTTATTTAAAAAAATATTATCTCCATGGACACAATGAATTTTTAGTGATGTACCTTACAGTGTTAACAGGACCTGCATGACCTCTTAAGCGACGAATTGGAGTTCCAGTTGCTACATCCCAAAGAATAACTGATTTATCTAATCCACAAGACACAATTTGGCTACTATCACAGGAAGCATAAGAGTCCATTACTTCATCTCCATGTCCTCCATATGTTTTTAAAGTAACACCTCTGTGAGGATTCCATAATTTTAATTTTCTATCAGATCCACAAGTTAAACAATAAGCACCATCAACTAAAAAAGCATTAAATATAAAACAATAATTTTTCATAATAAAAAACAAACATTATTAAATAAAAGCTATCTTGAATTTTTTAAGTATAACTACATATATACCACTAAATCGCACAGCTCTGACAGCTCCTTGTTTACAGTCTATTTCTCTTATAAGTTTATATTCAATTTCCATTTTGAAATCAATTAAAATGCATCATTAAAAAAATAATACGTCTTGAAAGCAATAATGAATAACATATTTTTGATTACACTGATAATCTTATTTTAGTTATTAATTTACATATTCCTTGTTTTCATAATTTCAAAACAAACATATTCGTATAACTATATAAAACGATGTTGATTTAACTTAACCATAGAACACAGTAGATTTCACAGATTGACCAAAAGTAACTTGTTTATAGCATTCAATGATATAGGTTATTCATTAAACTAGTTTACATATATTATAATTTACATATATTTATATCATAAAATTTGAAACATAAAATCGACAGTTTCGCACAAACTTTAAAATATAAGGTTTAAATAGTAAATATTAATGAAATATCAATAGTCTAAAAATATCCAATCAGCAGTTTGAGTTTCTAGTTTAAATAAGGATAGTAGGTTCAAATCATTTTTTATGTGTGGTTACGTATTACTGCTGAATCTACGCGTTTACCAATAAAAAAAGTAATTGAAAATCTCCTATCAAGGTATCTGATAAACCATAGTTATGAATGAACGTAAAAGAATGGTACATTATATTGATGTTTTGTCGGCAATAAGTTTTGGTTTATTGTAAAATTGTATTATACTCCAAAGTGACAGTTTTTGTTTTTTGCTGAAGTATGTATGTTGATAACAACTATTTAATAATTTATATAATTTCATGCTAGATTTGATTAAAAAACAAAATCTGTTCATGAACTTTATTACGTCTTAAAGGTTATAATTTACATGATAAATTATAGTCAAACCTATTAAATTTTATATATGAGAAGAATTTTAATAAACAATATTTTATGATTAATTCATAAAATTCTCAATGTGATAATGTAGATAAAATGGTTGCAAATACAGCAGCTGATATGACTGGATCCATATACCATGAAAAACAAGTAATCATCAAACATGTTATATCTTTAATTTGTAATTAAACAATGTTTTGATATATCAGGTTGTATGAGTGTTTATTTTTCTTGTAGGTAAAGGAACTTTGTGCATTGCATGCATTAAATAATTTATTTCAAGAGAGAGGATTTAGTAAACAAGAGTTAGATCAAATATGTTATAGCTTAAGTCCAGATGTATGGATCAATCCTCATAAATCATTGTTAGGTCTTGGTAATTATGATATTAATGTTATTATGGCAGCATTACAACGAAGAGGACGTGAAGCTGTTTGGTTTGATAAACGCAGGTTGATTTCAATAAATGATAGTAATGTGTTAATACATCATTGTAGAAAACTTTATTTGTCTTTATGAAATATTTTCAGAGATCCTAAATGTCTGTGTTTGGATAATATTGAAGGATTTATACTAAATGTACCAACTGAATATAAATTAGGATTTGTATTACTTCCCTTGAAGAGACGACACTGGATTGCCTTGAAGAAAATTCATGGTGCCTTTTATAATCTTGATTCAAAAATTGATTCTCCACAACTTATTGGAAAGGTCAGTTAAATGAATTTCTCAACTTTTGTTCTTATAATAATTTAATGAAATTTAATGAACTGCATTAAATTACTGCTAGTAATATGTTACCAGGAAAATGATTTACTTACATACCTAAAGGACCAGATAGACAGTAAAGAAAAGGAATTATTCCTTGTTGTATCAAGAGAGATAGATAGTAATCAAGGGTGGTTAATAAATACATATGCAAATAGAGAAGAGATTACTGCAGATCATGATACTATCACATACATTGAAGATGGTTATACAGAAGCAAATTTAAGGAAAGAAGAGTCTGCAGAAATGAATGACAATGAAAAATTATTACATAATAAAAATTCTAGGTAATTAAAGTTTTTTAATTTAACTAAGCTATGTATTCAATGCTTCAGGCCAAAATACATTTTAAATATAAATGACAATAGTCCATTAAAAAACAAGTTCTAACTTCAGGGAATTGAGAAAAAGGAGTAAAAGATTAAAAATTATAAATGTTACATATAAATTTTGTTTCACAAGAACAAAGAATGTAGTCATTTTTAGTCCATTTATGTCCATGTATTATATACATAATCTTTTAATTAATTTAAATATGTAATTTTATTTTTAAATTC